TATAACAATTCCAGATGAATTGTTGATTAGAGAATCGGAAGATCCGCTGTCGGATATAGTTAATTTTGTTTATCCGAATCTCTTGGATAATATTTTGGATCAGACCTTCTTTAAAGAACGTGCTATTCTAACTCCTAAATTGTTCGATGTTGCTATGCTAAACGAGCACCTAATGTGTATGATTCCTGGTGAAGAAAGGACTTTTTTGAGTTCGGATAAAATTCTTAAGCAAGGTGGGACTTCCTCTGTTGAGGATGATGAAATCACCCCTGAGATCTTAAATACATTATCATGCTCAGGGATTCCTGATAATAAATTAATCTTGAAAGTTAAAGTTCCAGTAATGCTATTAAGAAATATTGATCAGTCGAGAGGTTTATGCAATGGCACGAGATTGCTTATTACAAAATTAGGGAATCATGTTGTTGAGGCAATTGTACTTACAGGAAGCAATATAGGGGAAACTGTGTTAATCCCTAGAATGACGATGAGCTCATCGAGTCATACATTTCCTGTAAATTTCCAAAGAAGATAATTCTCCCTGATTGTATCGTTTGCCATGACTATCAACAAGAGTCAAGGACAATCACTTTCACATGTTGCAATTTATCTCCCTAAGCCTGTCTTCACTCATGGGCAATTATATGTGGCACTGTCTAGAGTAAAGAGTAAGCATGGATTGAAGATATTGATACTTGATGAAAATGGCTGCGTTACGAATAGTACCCTTAATATAGTTTACAAGGAAGTATTTCAAAGACTGCTATAGTATATTGGGTTCTTTCTTCAAAGATATAACTTCGTTGTATGGTACAGGTAAAGACAAAAAAATGACTGTTTATTCGCGTTTCTTTTCCTTATCTATCTTCAAAGATATGACCTTTATTATCCTATTTTCTTTCCTATTTTTAAAGTAACAATGAATGACTGTTTTGTTATTTAAAAAAATGACTGTTTCGGACCTTTGAAATACTGACAAAATGAGTTCGGCCCGGAGGGCCGACCCACCACGCCAAACAAACCAAATTTTTTTCCCGTGCATCGGCACAGGTAATTCACTAGTATATATATATATATGAGGAATGATATTGTAACAACCAAGTTTGTTACTACCATGTTACTACCAATTAATCTCACCGTTAGATCGATTGTGTGGATCCAACGATTATATTTATTTTTATCTTTGTATGGTCATGATTTCTCAAATTTAATACTTTATATTTATTTTCACCTTTGTATGGTTATGATTTTCCATATTTAATGCTTTCACTTTAAATATGGGAAATCATAACCATACAAAGATAGAAATAAATATAACCGATGGATCAACATAATCGATCTAACGGTGAAACTTATTGGTAGTAACACAACTTAGTTGTTACAGTATCATTTCTATATATATATATATATATATATATATATATATATATATATATATATATATATATATATATATATATATATATATATATGGGATAATTATATTTATATTTTTTTGCTCACAAACTCTTACGATCAAATCTTAATCGTTGATTTTTATCATTCTGATAGTTATAATTTATTAGATCACACTTATTATTTAATTATTAATTATTAATAAATTATAATCGTCAGATTGACAGAAATTAACGGTTAAGATTTGAATATAAGAATTTGTAAACTAACAAAATTATAAATATAACATTTTCCATGTATATATATAGATAGATAGATAAAGATTAATTGTTAATTCAAATTAGAGATAATTTTATTTCTTGCATACATAAAATAATGGATGAGTTCTATGAGAGAAAAAGAAGAAAAAAAGAAATAATGGGATCCATCTATTTTTATATATGTGTAAAAGATAAATTTATCTTTTATATATATATATATATATATATATATATATATATATATATATATATATATATATATATATATATATGGTACAAATATTTATCTTATATTTATAGAAAAAATATTAATCATATATATATATATATATATATATAAACATATCCTACATTTATATAAAAAATTCTCATTTGTAAAAAATAATTTTTTTATTTGTTACAGATATGGATAATTCTAATACGAAAGCAAAATGGTACATGAATGACAAAATATATAAAAAATAAAGGGGTTTGATTTTCTCATGTTGAATGAGAATTCAATTCTCATGTTGTAGAGATAAAAAGCATGTGGGACCCATGTGTTAGAAAAAATTATATGTAGGACCCATGTCAGCACGAAAATCGAAGGATGTGTAGAAAAATTTGAATTCTCATGTTGAATGAGAATTATAAAACCCAAAAATAAATGCATGTCGTTTTATCAATAGTTTTTTGTTCTTTTTTACTTTATCACGTATTATGGCTGGTTTTGTGAGAAACCACGAGGGGGGAAAAACACTAGGATGAATGGGTTTTTATGGCTGTGTATTTAAGGGAATAAATGAGATAATTTTATCTTTTATACCCATGTAAAAATATATAGAGCTCATGTGAATAGAAGCGAGAGAAAGGAAAATATGAATTTCATATATATATATATATAGAAAAAAATATTTCTCCGACAACTTGAGATAAGTTTACCTCTCCGGTTACCCCAAAACTACGTCGTTTTATTTATTTATTTTTTTATATTAATTGATTCACCTTTGAATGATTATGATTTTATTTTCTCTCTCTTCCTTTATCACCATTGATATATCTTTGTACAGTTATGATTTAGTTTTCGAAGATAAAATTATCTCAAGCAGCTTGAGAAATATAAACTCATATATATATATATATATATATGTATGGGATATATACACACACACACACACATATATATATATATAATCAGATAGAAAGCTGATATGTCAATACTTAGATGATGTGTCATTATTTGTATTAGTCAAGTTAGTTAGTCGGTTAACTACTTTTGTATATATACCTGATGTACTGTTAATCAAAGTAACTAGTTCTAATACAAATAATGACACATCATCTAAGTATTGACACATCAGCTTTCTATCTGATTACAATATATAGGATTATGATCATTTTACACGGTATAAGATTAATAAGTCTTACACCACATCTCAACCGTTGATTTTCGTTCATCTAATGGTTATATTTAGGAAGTTATATGAATTAATTAATATTAATTAATCATTAATTATACTACAAATACCAACAGATGATTTCCGTCCATCAACGATTAAGATGCGATGTAAGACTTTTTAGTCTTACACTAGTGTAAAAAGAACCTGTCCCATACATATAAAATAAATTTATTTCCGATAACATAAAAATATTAAATTTGTGTATTTCATTATTGTTTTAAGAAAACTTAATCATAATACACATTTATGACTAAAGCTTAAGTTTTGGGGCTGAAGAAAGGTCAGGCCCGTTCAAAATATGGCCACTCAGGGCTATGTACTACTAAATCCGCATGCGTTAATGGTTAGAATCTGTGTCTTTGGAAACAAAAAGATAAACGTCTTGAATTCGGTGCTCCTCTTTTCTTTTTTAGAAAATCTTTTATTTCATTTAAACCCACATCTTCAATTTTATCTTCTTCTGAATCCCAATATTTTATTCTTTTAGCATAGAGGTATGTATTTAAGATTTGTTAGCGGGGAGGATTATTTTCATGTTATTTGAGAAAAAAATTTCTCTAATACATTCATAAATTAGAAAAGAAAGGAGAAAGAAAAAAATATAAAGTGAACTTCATCATACGAGATAAAAAATTTTTTTATATAATATGAGAATAATATTTTTCTTATATTTTAGAGTGTTAAAATTAAAAAATTAAATAAAACACCACCCGTGAAAAGATCCAATAATTGTCATGCTCGTTTATATTCGTACTATTGAGTATTGGCGAAGTCAAATCTTCATTTTCAACCATATAATTATAGGATTTTATAAAAGTTATGTCGTAGAAAAAGTTAACTTGTCATGTTATAGAGATTTATTTTTCGTGCCTTAATTTTTTTTTTGCTTCAAAAAATGCAGGTCTCACAAAATGTTGTATCTGTAAGAAACTCTATTTTGTCATGTTACATGATGGATGCAAATCCCATAATTATATGGTATATTTGACTGCGGGCACCCGTCATGTCAACAAGAAAAAAGTTTATTTGTGACAAAAATTTTCGTTGCAAATTTTGTCACAAATGACAATTCTCGACACAAATAATCAAATTTCGTTACAAATAAATTTGCGACTCAGGAATTTGTGACGAAATTTCATATGTAGTGACGAAATTTGCGACGCTAATAAAAATTTGTCTTGTAGTTACTCGGCAATTAGACCCTAAGAACACAAATTAATTTATAAGAATTTTAAATACTTTTAATATAAGTCTAAACTATATAGATTATCATTTTAAATAATCGTAATTTTGAGTAGATATTATAAATTGATCATCATAGATCAGAAAAGCTATTTATCAAAAATATTAGAACCGTGCACATTACCGTGCACATTTCGTAATCAAAACATATTAAAATAAGAGTTTAGTGTTTCTTCTCAATAGGAAATAAAATTATTTTTTATAAATTAAAATTATGTTGTTTTGAAAATTTAGAGAAAAAAATAAAAAAATATTTTTTAAAAATTCATATTAGGAAAAAGAAGTAAAATTTCCAAATATCCAACATCAATACTGTAATATATAGAAAAAGGTAACTTGACATAAAAAATAAAAAGGAAACTGAATCCGAGAGAAATACCAAAATACGAAAAAAGCAACAGATTAAAATTATAAAGGGAAAGTAACAAACAAGCTCCTTCTCGAGCCTTGATAGAGCTTTTTACCCCTTCAACTTGGAAGCAAAAGTAACAAGACCCTACACAACAGGTACACTTGGAAGCACACAACAACCAAACAACAAAAGCAAAACTCTCTTAACAACTTATTATCCACTCATTCTCATTTCCAAAAGACACAGTTTATATATGTCTCTCTCCCTTTATATATATATAGGAGTTGAGTTGTTAATTAATTAGTTGACACTCCTGCAATTCTTTCTAATCTCTCCGTTGGAGCCAGTGAGGGGGCTGATATCTCCCATCTTGATCATGGCAGTGGCGAAATCAGAGGAAAAGGAGGTGGGGTTGGTGCTGTAGTCGCTCACTATGGAGTCGGTGGAGCCGCCATTGAAGAGTTGCTGGTCAGAGTGGAGGAGCCCTTTTTTCTCAACGAGGTTCTTGAAGTAATGGTGGTCGAATGATGTTGGTGTCTCCAGATCAAGGGGTGCCAGGTTATTGTCCCCTGACCCTGTCGACCTGGGACAACTAGATTGCCTCATGCGTGCAAAGGACCCATCTATGTTTGTTTCATTGTATATGCGGCCTCTAAAAGTGGTGCATCTTGCCTGTCCAATTGTATGACCACCTACCATTGGAGTGTAATTTGGGAAACAATCAATTAATGAAATTAAAATCAACATATGTTGTTGCTATAAAAGTTATTTATGTAAGTACAAGGTTGCTACATTAATTTTATCTAGAATGTGGGACTATAAAGTCAATGTTACATACCAGACAATGCCACCAAGTCGTTGGTGGAAAGTCCAAGAGCACTGAATCTCGAGATGAGTTGGTTGAGGTTTGAAGTGGGTGCTGGGATGCCGTTGTTAGCAGCGGATAAGCTAGCTGTCCTAGCGTCTCTTCTTCCAAGTTTCACATCCCAACTTGGGCCTCCAAGCTTATGAAATTCCACAAAAATATTCAGTTACTTAGTACTTGATTATATATGGATCAGGATCATTTTACACCAGGGTAAGTTATACTCTTAATCTTATTCTTTGATCCCACTTACTAATTTTTTAGTAATGTTAGCCATTGAATACAAGTGGATCAATGGTCAAGTTTGGGTGTAAGACTTCTAACTCTTACACGGGTAAGAATATCCTGCCCTATAGAAGTCTTACATCCAAACATGACTATTGATCCACTTGTATTCAACGGCTTACATTACTAAAAAATTAAAGTCCTCAGATATAAGTAGGATCAAAAGACAAGATTAAGAGTGTAACTTACACTGGTGTGTAAAATGATCCTGACCCTATATATATATATATATATATATATAGAGAGAGAGAGAGAGAGAGAGGGGTAGGATCCTTTGACACCAGTATCATATTTGAAGTTTGACACCTCATTTTAAAGTCTGATTTGTAAGCATGTGACACCATTGATCTTTTTGTATCTAACGATAGTTCAGATGAGATGTCAAATTTCAAATTTGACACTGACGTCAAAGGATCCTACCTCAAATATATATATATATATATATATGATGTGATGGGATTTTGGACATTTAATTGCTTACGATATTAACAGAGTCTCTGGCAGCGATGGCAAGGATATCAGCGCAGGAGACCACACCTGGGCACACTTCTTCAACTGCTGACTTGATTGCGTCGATCACTTCGAATCCACGGGCAGAATTATTGTTGGGTTTTGCATGCTTCTCCCCTGTGAAGCTTGATGTGTCATCAAGTAGAATCGAACCATCACATCCCTGCAATTAATTTTGTTAATATGATCGTTTCTTTCTAATCAAAGTAACCAATGTACTTGAATTTACACCCATTCGGCACGATGGTGTGTTTAGGTTTACATTATAGAGGAATTGATGTTTAAAAAAGATTCTAAAGAATCAAGATTAACGAATTTGATTTTTCTTTAGAAATTTTGTTTTGAAAGTAATTTTAGTATTATAATTTTATTTGCAATTAATGTTAATCGTGTATTAAAATTTTCATACATTTCGGGACAGTTAATGATGATTGGATTTCTTACTTAACAAAGTATATAAATTGATTAAATTAACATCGTACTAATAATTTAGACATCATTGATATTCTAAATTTAGTATAAAATTTGGATGCGTAAGATACATTTTTCCTTATTATCATTTATGTCAGAAAGTGACACATTAAAGATCAAATTCATTGTTTACCAAATTCACAGAAGAAAAGTTCTAATATTTCGTAGAAGTTAAGCTCAACGATAATATATTAATATTATATCATGTACGAGATTAATGTTTTTCATGTTGCAAAAGATAAAATTATCTCTTACACATATATAAAAGTGTACGTGACTGTTATCAAAAAATAAAATAAAATGTATGGAACCCATATGAATAGAAGAAAAAGAAAAAAAATATGGATCTCACATCTTTTTATATGTGTGTAGAAGATGAAATTTATCTCCTAAAAACATTATTCTCATAATTTATATATACAATTCCATATAGTTTGTCATGAATTAGTTTACCAAAAAAAAGATCAAATTCATTGTTTACCAAATTCACAGAAGAAAAGTTCTAATATTTCGTAGAAGTTAAGCTCAACGATAATATATTAATATTATATGATGTACGAGATTAATGTTTTTCATGTTGCAAAAGATAAAATTATCTCTTACACATATATAAAAATGTAAGTAACTGTTATCAAAAAAAAAAAAAAAAAAAGTGTAAGTGACTGTTATCAAAAAATAAAATAAAATGTATGGAATCCATATGAATAGAAGAAAGAGAAAAAAAATATGGGTCCCACATCTTTTTATGTGTGTGTAGAAGATGAAATTTATCTCAGAAAAACATTATTCTCATAATTTATATATACAATTCCATATAGTTTGTCATGAATTAGTTAATTGTTTGATGTATTACGGGGGCAGAAGCAGAAGCTAGCCTGTGTGTGTGTATGTGTGTGCGTGTGTGAGAGAGAGAGAGAGAGAGAGAGCACAAAAATTACGTTAACAAAGCAATCGTGGAAGAACAAACGCAGGAGGGAAGCACCCATGCGAGCCTCCTTTGATATGGCTGATTCCACTGTGCATTTCACAGTGTCAAGGAGTTTTGGACAAGAACTGTAGTAGTGGTTAGTGGAAAGTGTTGCATTGGCACTCCCCAATGCGAGGACAAAGAGGGCCAAACCAATCATTAAGCTAGAACAAGACGAATTAGCCATAGCTAAACCCTATATAAGTACTAAGTAATTAGCTCTATCTGTGTGTTTTTTGTTTGTGCTTGAGAAGGTGTAGTTGTGATGTCTAGAGCTGTGGAAGTGCTATATATATATATATATATGTATATACACACACATATATATCCACTGCGCCATGTTTAATTTTTCAACTTCATATAATTAATCTCAAGGTGCTTTCTTTCTTACGTAGCGTAACCTAACACGTAGACAAAGTAATCAATCAGTCCATGTGGGCAGTTTACTCGGCTTGTGATTTAATTTGATTAATCAATTCGACAATACCTAACGAAGTGAAGGTGCTTCATTTTTCTTTGAACCAATGACTTATGCTGCCGGCTTGCTATGATTTGTCAAAGTGTTTTCAGGAAGTTAGTTAACTTTGTTTCCTCACGGTCCCATCTATATAACCCATGATTTGATGTGTGATATTTCATGCGATCGATACAAACCGACAGAAGGCAGCAAAATGCAAAAAGTTTGACTGCTTTAATCAAAAGATTCCAAAACGAACACCGTCTTATTAAGAAAATTGAAATTTATTTGGATAGGTTGATTTAAAAGTTTTGTTTGAATTGTATAAAAAATTATTTTATTTACTAAATTATTCTCCCGTTTCTGCCTCCAGATTCTTGGAGTGGTTGAAGTATATATATAGGTTGATCGTTCTTGTCTCTGCCTTTCATTTCTTTAATTTGTTTGAAGTAAATGCATGTAATTCAACGGCACTGTCTCGTAACTCAAGTTAATTAGTAAAAAATTAAAAATTTATACTGTCATGAGAAAAAGCTGTTCACTATAAAATAGATAAACTTATATACAATGTCTGTTAGTAAATAACTCAACTCATGATTATCTGGCAAATACTAAGTTTTCCAAAATGAGTTAAGAGAGAAAAAGAGAAGGACTTAAAAAAAAAATAGATTAGATGAATGAAAGAATAATGCACTTCAACTAATTAAACTATGAGGAGAAATATCATAAAAAATCAACATATTTTGGATGATTAAGGGAAAATGCTTTTTTTGTTCCCTAACACTCCTTTGTACACGGTTGGCAATAGTAGACTTTCATGAGCATGGTGCATTAATTTCTCTCGTATGGTAGCCTCTTCCAATTAAAAAAATTGACGTGCTGGCCGCGAGCTGTGGTCCTTCGGAAGATTACGAGGTTTAGGTTTAGAAATGTTGTTTTGACCATTGTGAGATAGGTTATTGCTTGTCTTTAATTTGCCCATTACAAAGTCCGAAAGCCATGCTAGAAAATCTACCAATTTTGGAATATTTGAAGTTTGATAGTCTGTAACGAATCTTTCATAGCGCCACCCTGCTTTTAAATAAGATAATCAAATAACCTCATCACCAAAGTTTAACTAACACCGTTTACTATATATGGAGACTCAGTTACTCAACTAAGTCAAGTGGTTTGACATAACTACAGTTGCTGCTTAAGGATATATTAATACATTATTAACTCTAATTAAAACTTGGGAAATGTACTTCTGTTATCGCTGTAGAAGAAATTTTTTGCACCAACACATAAAAAAAAACAGGATAAGCCGACTCCTAGCTCTTTTAAAAAAAAATGTGGGTCTCACTTTTTCTGTTTCTGCTACACCAGAAAAAGTGATGCAGCGACATAAGAAAAAATGCACCCTTGAAATTAAACTAGATTTAACCTTAAATATAATTCCTTTGAGAAATTTTGGCAGGTAAGTTGCTGCAGAGATCAAGGTGGGCAAAGATCTTCTCCTAGGTCTCACAGGATTATTCTGGTAAAGGGAGACAAACATAAATTTTATTATTAAGAAGCCGTTATTATGGGTTTAAAAAAAAATTATTTAAAACTAATTAATTTCAATTGTTTGATAAGATGTTCTCTTATTATTCAGCAATAGACTAGAATATCGATCCGAAAAAGATTCTGCATTGATCAATTTCAATTTAATGTAGATTGCCGCTTAAAGGTGCAGAGAAGGCCTTTTCAATTTAATACGAGGATCGTGAATGTTATTTCACTTCTTATTTTTGGTAAAAGAATGTTCATTTTATTTTTGGATTTGTTGTGTACTAGTAGGGTGTAAATAGGCTAGACTAGGCTAGGCTTTGACTTAAATAGGTTAGGCCTGTGTAAAAAATATTGGATATGACTTGACCTATTAGCCTATGTAGGCATCAAATTACAAGTCTGACATGACCTATATTTAAAAAATAAAAAATTTTGGCGTAGGCCTGTTAGCTTATTTAAGTATATTAAACATTCAACAATTAAAAGAATAATTATAATAATATTATTTTATTATTCAAAATTATTAAAATAATAATTTTATTTATTATATTTTAAATAAATAATATGATATAGGCCGGCCTCTAGGTTTATAGGCCCGACATGTACAAAGAAGCCTATAACTTGTTTTTTAAATAATTTTTTTTAAAAGCTTAGCTTGTTCTATTTTATTATTTATAATAGATCAAGTCTAGGCCGTAGATCCCTGTTGGCCGGCCTAGCTCATTTACACCTCTATGTATTAGGGACAGAGATGTCCAACCGGTTGCTAGTATATTTCTATTGGATTTATATGTGTCCTATCTCAGGTATTTGTGGAAGAGATACACTATAGTAATAAGTAATAATGGCATAGTCAAAGGATGTGGTGAATGCACAATAACAGCTAGGAGAGAGTTTAAGATATATGTACCTTATTGCCTTAATCCTATATTTATAGATAGATTATCTGGCAGGAGTGCATTGTTAGGCCTCTTAGGAATATTGAGGGCACAAGTCCAACTACTTAGCTATCAAGATATGATTGTCATTAATTTACTTGACTTTTCTTCTGTATTCCTTTTTTAGACCTTCTAAAATATAAATCTTTGTCATGTCCATAACAGGATTAATAGTTTCTCGTGTTACAGTAGAAATTATTAACCTTCGTATAAAGACAAAAAAAAAAAAGAGACTCATCAAGTTTAAAAAAATATATATAAATTTTTTAATGGGTGTGCATAAGAAGAAAAATATACCCTTTTGTTTTTACCAAATTGTCTGCTCAAGTTTCAAAGGATCTCAACTTTTTGATTGGGTTCACATTGAAATTGTTTGAAATTTGAATTGTTAAAGTTCACATCATGATCACGCTTCCCGTTGATAGAAAAAATTTCTGTCACATCATAAAATAATAGAAAGTCAAAAGGAGATGCTTATCTTGCCTTTTCTAGGATTAATTTCTTACACCGCTTTCTTAGTTTGCTTTTTCTTTTTCTTTTTTGCGCTGACAAAGAATTAGAAAATGTCACGGACTCCAATCGTACAAGAGGGTTTCAAAATTAAAATGATCACACTGATTTTATATTTTGTTAATGGGTTTTCGTTTTATCCTTTAACATAATATAACAAACTTTTCTACACTCACAATTGTGGGACTCATATTTTTTAAAACAAAAAAATAAATAAAAAATTAAAGCACGCAAAACGAATCTCTATAACATTACACAATCACTTTTCCTACAACATAACTCTTATAAAACCCTTTGTTAATACAAACAATTAGTTTCACTAAAAGCTTAGGTTTGTGCGATGTCAATGATCAGAGGATATTTGGTACAAGAGATATTTTTTTTACCCAAAAAAAATATTTTTAAAAATATGGTAGGAAAATATTTTGTACAAAAAAATATTAAAAAAATATTTGATAGGTCAAAATATTATCAAAAAAGTAAAATTAATTTTACTGATGCTATTTTGCTTGATGATAAAATGTTGATAGAAATGTTAATTGAATTTATCAAATTACTCATCCTTTTTTGAATTTTGTACTTCTATTATGATGCTACGTTCGTTTTTGTACGTCTATTATGGTAAAAAAAACTTATACCAAACACCGCTTTATAGAAAATTTGAAGTTGTTTTTTATCTTCAAAAAAATGATGTTAAAATTACCAAATTGACTCCTCCTTTTTTTTCCACGTTTCATTCAATTTCAATATTCATGTGATTTCATTCCGTCTTTTCACATATTTTGAAGGTGAGAAGTATTTAATGATGAGTTTCTCATCTAAATAAACCCATGTGCTCTCTTGTGTTTACGTTTACAGCCAACATTTAGCTTTAGCTCAAACAAATGCCAAAAGGCACAGTCTAATTACATTCTCAGTTGCTTCATTTCCTTTGATATCAGTGAAGTTGTAAAAATTAGCAATTTTTAAGATTTGGGTAAGTCATTACTCCCAAATTAATGTTGTTGAACCAATCATAAAAAAGCGCCTTTATTTCAAAGTTGTTGACTTGGATGGGAGATTATAATATCCCTCATAAGGTGATTTAATTAATTGCACGTAATTAGGCAATTAATTTTATATTAGTGGGTTAAATTAGATAAAATATCTAATTAAATAAATTAGGGTCACTTTTGAGGTAAAAAGTGCAGTCAGTGAAAATTATGGGATAAAAAGTATGTAGACAAAATTACCTAAAATATAAAAGTAAAAGTAAAAATATTTTTACAAAAATATTCCAGACCTTTGGGTAAAGTTTAGTAGTGAATGAAGTTGAATAGATAGATAAGCTCATACACGATTGAGATAACTCAACCTATGATAAGTGACAAAACACAAGCCAAACCCACACTTTCCTTCTTCGTCTTATGGAAATAGAGAGTGGGAGGAGAGAATTCAATTTTTAAGCCTAAACCCTAGCTCACTCATCTTTCACCCAAATCAATCCATTCCAAAGGCAAACTTGCATCAAATCTCTTCCTCTTCAAAACCCACCACTCCTTGTTAGTTGGGAACCATTGTGGGTGGAGATCTTGGCTTATTTGGGAGGCAAAAATCTTGAGGATTGGAGAAGTTTAGAGGCATTTCCTTCAAGGGGAGCTTAGGAGATCAACATTCCTTGGTTGAGCAACCACTTATGGTAAATTTTCACTCCTTAAACCTTGTTTCCATGGAGGCTTGAGGTTGAAGATGATGAATAGTGATTTTATG